GACTATTACGTCAGTAGATTCCAGTTCAGGTTTCTCATTGTAATCTTTACTTTCAGGCTAAAAAATGCTTCTAAACTGGGGTAAATAGAGCAGATTTATTTGAGGCTCTTTGATATTGAAGGACTACCAGTAGGTCCCATTGGTCCACACAGCCTTGGATAGTGCTGCATTAAGACCTTTGTTACAACCCTATCAATGTCTATACTACTTAGGTCACTTCTTTTTTTTTTTTTTTTTTTAACAAATAGTTTATTGTCAAATTAGTTTCTACATAACACTCAGTGCTCATCCCCAAAGTGCCCTCCTTCATGCCCATCACCCCTCCCCCCACATCCATCAGTCCTCAGTTTTTGTCAGCATTCAAGAGTCTCTCATGGTTTGCCTCTCTCCCTTTCCCCCACCATTTCCGCCCTTCTTCTCCCCCTTGGTCCTCTGTCAAGTTCCTCCTAATCCTCCTATACGTGCAAACATATGGTATTTGTCCTTCTCTGTACTTAGGTCACTTCTTAATAACCATGGGACAAGTCCCCTAACTCTCCCCTCTGCCTTTCTCCATTTTATTGTTAGTATTTTTATTAGCACCTACAAGACCCATGAGGGGAAGCTGAGGTTACAAATTCTATGAGGCTTTTCAGATTGCTGTTCTATTTTGTAACATGAGATGCCCAAGCAAAAGGGCCCCCTAACCTAAACCCCTAGCGTTTACCATGACCTGGATAAGCAGCAAGTTCAGTGGGTGAATATCTTGATTATCATAAAGCCAGTCCCACATGGCTTACATGTGAAGCATATCAGCTGCTTCACGTGGGGTGTTCCACTTGGCATTTATGGGAGGAGTTGAACTGTTCTGCTTTTCAGACTTTACAGTGTTAACCAATCGACCAGGCTGGCTGTTTTCTTGAGAATAACCTTGTATGTTTCTCCATCATGTATAGCCGTCTGTGACTGTTCAGTAGTGAGCCATGGGTCCTGTATCAGTCCAATTCTGCAGCATTCAAAACCAAAGACACCACCCTAAATTAGTCACTCTGTGAACTGTCAAATCCCATGCAGCACAAAGGACTTGTCTAAACACTGCACTAAGATATCTGCCCTAAGTGTAGCCTAGTTTCCACCTGTGCTAGGGCATGTCTTTAAAGGTGACCCCAGCCCCCATGCTGAATCTTTGTTTAAGAAAGCACATGTTCCCACACTGCAAAATGTATATTGTCGCAATCCACATTCCCAAACCATTTTCAGTAATTTTCCACAACCCTCTTCTGTAATTTTTTTCATTTTCCCATAGCCCCTTAGCCCACATTTTTACTTCCCTGTCACCCCTTTTTTTCTCTCTCTGTTTTCCCTTTAAAAACATGTCTCCTTTGTCAGAGTTGGAGTTGAGCGCGGTTTATACAGTTTAAGTTATACTTAGGTCTGTTTTGTCATCTTCAACAATTGTCTGGTGCTGCTTCTCTCTGACACTTCTATGGTGCCCCTACTCAGATCTGAATTGGAGCCACCAGTGGACCCTGGGACAGGACAATTGGACTGACTCAGCAAGCATTGAGACATTTTGTCTCCAGTGCTCTTTAGTTTGAGAGGAGCCCTGGAACAAAAGGGAACAAAAATTTCAGACATGTGACGGCCCATACTTTGCCTGGAAAGAGAAAGATTAGAAAAAAATCTCTAGCCTCTCACTTTTCCCGTGTGTGTGTGTGTGTGTGTGTGTGTGTGTAGAGGAGAGCTCATAGTTCTAACCCTGTAATCACAGGGTTGATTCCTTAGACTACCAGTTCCCATCCTGAAACTAGGAGCCCCAGTAGGAGTAACCTTACTAGCATAAATTCAGGTGTGGTCAAAGGGGCTTTGATGAATAACAAAAGATACTCTATCCTTTAGGAAATCCCAAAGGTTTTAGGAGCTCTGTGCCAGGAACTGGGGACAAAAACCAAATGTATATGTACATGTATATATGTATATGTTATTGTTCAGGTAGTGATAGTTTGTATGAAGGTGGTAACGGTACAGAAATAGTTAAGTGAATGCAGTCTGGATGTATTTTGGGATTGTGGACTGATTGGATCTGGTGGGGAGCACTGCGGGAACTGGAGGAAACAAGAATCACTCCCACCCCCAACAAGCCCCTGTCAATCAACAGGAAAATGAAAAAATAAACTGTGGTATAGTCATATAGTGAATACTAGAAAATAAAAAAGCAGACTACTGGTTCATGCAGTACATGGGTGAATCACAGAAATAACATACTGAGATAAGCCAGATACATAACAGTTTATTCTATATGTCTCCATTTATATAAAATTTAAGGGCAGGCAAAAACCAAGTTATGGTTGATATAAGTCAGAAAAGTGGGTACCTCCAGGAGGAACATACTGTTTTGAATGGGGCACAAGGGAACTATTTAGGGTGATGGAAATGCTATAGATCTTGATATGGGTCATGGTTACATGGATAGGTGCATATATAAAAATTAATCAGGCAGTAAATTTAAGATTCTATAAATAAACATATCTAAGTTAGCCCTAAGTAAAAACATTCAAAATAAACATTGAAAGAACAGAAATAGAAGGCAAAACTTCCATATTAGTAGAGAAAGAAGAAAGGAGTAAAGCTAAGTCATTTGATACAAGAGAATGCAAGAAGGATGGAAAAGAAAGGCAAGAAAGGCTTGGTTAACATTACACAGTAAGCTGGCAGAAAGAAATCTGAAAAACACTGAGCTATGTAAGTACTAGGCAAAACATTAAAATAAAAATGTTATGGATGATGAGGATTAATTATATATTAAAGGTACTTGTCAGAAAGACATAGCAATTCTCAATTTTTATATATCCAACAATATAATCTTAAATTGCATGAAGCAAAAATGTGCATAAAAATAAAGAGAATTTGACAAAGCCACAATTATGGTAAAGGTAAAAACCATTCTCATGCATATATAGAACATTAGACAGATAGGCACACACACATATTCACTCACTCACAACAGGTCACAAAACAAGTCTCAACAAAAACAAAAGAATGGAAATCATACAAAACATGTTAAGAAATAACTCCCAAAATCTGTATGTTTGAAAGCTTGAAAATACTTCTTTATAATTCATGAGTCAAGAAAGAAAGAAATGAAAATAAGAAAATGGTAGTAACTGAACAACAGTGAAATACATGTATTGTAGCTCAGGACATACTGTTAAGTAATATAGAGAGAAGTTGTTTTAGATACCATAATTAGAAGAAATATATATATATTTTTAATGTGAGACAGAGCACGAGTGGGGAAAGAGTAGAGAGAGAGAGGGAGACACAGAATCTGAAGCAGGCCATGGGGCTCAGACTCACGAACTGTGAGATCATGACCTGAGCTGAAGTCAGACATTCAACCCACTGAGCCACCCAGGCACCCCAAGAGGAAATGTTTTTTAAAACTCTGAATGCACTGTCTTACCTAAAAATTTAGAACAAAAATAATACAAACTGTAAATCCAAAGAATGTGGAAAAAAGAAAAGAATGACAATTGTAACAAAATCAAAACAGATTATCAACAGAGAAAAAGGCTTGTTCTTTGAAAAGATAAAAACGTTTAACGGTTTTTTGCAAGGCTGATTACAAAAGAGAGAAAGCAAAATAGGACACAGCTATCCATAAAACAAAATTTCAAATTAAACAAAAATGAATAACACTTAGAAAAATATATCCTACAAAAAAAAAAACTGCAGAAGAAATTTTTAAAAATCTCAATAAAAACTAAAAGAAATTGAGGCAAAATATCTCCCCAGCTCACTAAGGGAACGAAAGTTATAGGCCAATGCCATTTATGCTCAAATGTAAATTTTCTTTAGGCAAATTTTTAAATGTTTTTTATTTTTTGGGGGGTGGGAGAGAGAGAGAGAGAGAGAGACATAGAATCGGAAGCAGGCTCCAGGCTCTGAGCTGTTGACACAGAGCCCAGTGAGATCTTGAACTCATGAACCAGAAATGTAAAATTTCTAAGTAAAGTATGAGCAAACAAAAACAATTTTATTTAAAAATAAATACATTCCAAACAGGTAGGCTTACTTTGGAAATGAAATAATGAGTTCATAAAATCTGTTACTGCAACTTATCTCACGAACTGATGCGATGCATTTAACTTCATTCGTACATCTTTAAAAAATCTTAAAGCCTTAAAACATCCCCATTAAAGTCAATATAAAAATGCCTGCTTTCACAATGTCTTTCAACACTGTATAGCCACTGCAGTAGTTAACTGATTAACACATATTTGCACATGTATGTGTACACATACACATATAACGCACAAATATTCACATCTCATGACTATTCAGTTAACTTTTCACAAAGCAGCCTTTGAAAAATTTAAACTATTTTTTAAAAAGCCACCAAAGACACTTTAATTTTTTTTAGAAAGTGGTTTTAGATATCAGAATCTCAAGCAAAGCTATGTTCACCAAGTTACTCTCCACTTAATTTCAGAGAATATCATATGGAACAAATTTGAATGGTGTACTTTCTTTGAACCAAAGTGTTCTTTTTCACTGAGATATACCTCCTCTTTTGAGAGGAAGAGGCAAAGGCTTCAGCTTATTTTGCCTGCTTGCTAAGGTGCTACTCTGATAAATACCCAAGAGCTCTCATGTTTTCCCTGATTCTTCCTAAAGATGGCTTTCTGTGAAATACCTTTTTATTAAAGCTCTGAGCCGTCCAAAGGCTGACAAATTGAAGAAAATGGTGCAGAAGGGAAAACTGATGAATCCAAAGAATGACTCCCTTTTTTTCCTATTCCAGCAACCAGTTCCACACTATCGTCTTCTCATTCCCATTGACAAGTGCAAAAATTCTTGTTCTTAATGCCTTTTACGTACAAATTTCATTTTTCAACGTTTATTTCATTTTCGGTTTTTTTTTTTCGTGTTTGAAAATGGTTTGGGTAAATTGGATTAGAATGCACTATAATTCCTGTCATGAAGACCAATAAGGATTTTTTTTTTTTAAAAGTCTTTTAATTTTGCAACTGAGCTTTAATTCAGGGGTGAATTAAAGACTGTAAGCCAGGGCCAGGTTATGAAGCCAAAGTTTAAAAGCTGGAAGGAAAATCACAAAGCTTCACCGCCTTTCCTCGACGGCGACCGAAGGCCATCAGCCAATCACGTCTAGAAAGAGCCCGGCCGGACTGCGCACCCAGACCCAAAGGCACACACCCGAGCGTTCCGCCTGCGCAGCCGGGACGCTGACCGCGGTTCCGCGACGACGCGCCAGCCGACCGGTAGGAGCCGTCATCAGCTAGCGGATCCCAGGCCACGACGGGCGTCGCCCCCTCGCCTTCCCCAGCCACCTAGCTCTCGACCGGCAGACATGGTTGAGGCGGATCGCCCCGGGAAGCTTTTCATTGGCGGGCTCAATCCCGAAACCGACGAGAAAGGCCTTGAGGCCGCGTTTGGCAAGTATGGCCGCATCAGTGAGGTGCTCTTGATGAAAGATCGAGAAACCAGCAAGTCCAGGGGCTTCGCGTTCGTTACCTTCGACAGCCCTGCAGACGCCAAGGCCGCCGCCAGAGATATGAACGGCAAGAGCCTGGATGGTAAGGCCATCAAGGTGGCCCAGGCTACCAAGCCGGCTTTTGAGAGCGGCCGGCGGGGCGCGCCGCCGCCATCACGCAGCCGCGGTCGCGTGAGGGGCCTTGGAGGAACCCGCGGGGGAGGCGTTGGCCCGCGGCGACCCCCATCCCGGGGCGGGCCGGCAGACGACGGCAGCTACGCGAGCGATTTCGACCCGCGGCCCTCCAGGGCCCAGCTGCCCATGAAGCGCGGGCCGCCGCCGCGCAGGGCCGGGCCGCCCCCCAAGAGGGCCGCGCCTTCGGGCCCGGCTCGCAGTGGCAGTGGAATGCGCGGGCGGACCCCGGCCGCGCGGGGGCGAGACGGCTATGCGGGCCCACCGCGCCGGGAGCCGCCACCCCTGCGCCGGGACGCCTACCTGAGTCCCCGGGAGGAGGGCTACTCGCCCAGAGACAGCTACTCGAGCCGAGACTACCCGAGCGCCCGCGACCCCCGCGAATTTGCTCCCTCGCCTCGAGAGTACACCTACCGCGATTACGGCCACTCCAATGCCCGGGACGACTGTCCGTCGAGAGGCTACGGCGACCGGGACGGCTACGGGGGGCGCGACCGGGACTACGCGGACCATCCTAGCGGAGGCTTCTACCGAGACCTATTTGAGAGCTATGGAGACCCGCGCAGCGCCGCCGCGGCGCGGGGGCCCCCACTATCTTACGGCGGAGGAGGTCGCTACGATGAGTTCCGGGGCTGCTCGCCCGACGCCTATGGCGGCGGCCGCGACAGTTACGGCGGCGGCCGTAGTGATCGCTACTCGAGGGGCCGCGACCGGGTAGGCAGAGCCGACCGCGGGCTCTCCCCGTCCTTGGAAAGGGGGTGCCCTCCCCTGCGTGATTCTTACAGCCGCTCTGGCCGCAGGGTTCCCAGGGGTGGAGGCCGCCTGGGAAGCCGCTCGGAGAGAGGGGGAGGCCGGAGCAGATACTAAGTACCAACGGACTTGGGACCAAAATTCCGTTTTCAAAGAAATTAACGAAAAGAGCCAGTTCACATGCTAACTACCCAAGGACTAGTACAAGGAAGAGTTGTTTTTACCTTTAAAATTTTTCCTGTTCATTTCCTCTCCATAATTTTTGGGCTTTTTGGGAGGAAAAAGTTAAAACTCATTTAATTTGCGTTTTGGAATTGTTAACGTTTCTTTCAACAAGCTCATTTTAAAAGCATTAAGACGAACCTGCGTACTAGTCTTCTTATATTTCCAAGTAAAAATTCTTCTAAAGGCTTCCTCCCTTCTAAGTTTTCCTGATAAATGAGACAAACAGTATCTGCCCACCAAAAATGGAAAAATGGATCAATCTGTTAATTCAGACCAACTAGATTTTGGGGGCGGGGAGTGGTAGGGAATTGGTATATGCTACTCCTCTAAGATTTCAGGTTGTCTTTCAGACTGAGACTCAGTGTTCCCAGTATTTAAAAAAATGACTAGCAACAACAGCAAAAATCATTTAGATGCCTATTTAAAGAAAGCTCTATTCACTCTAAGTCTAAAACAAGCAAGTGGATAATGCTGGGCATATTTTATCTTTTTGCCTTTATTTTGGGAATCTGCAGAATCTCCTGTTCCCTTGCTCCCCAAAATACTATTCATATATGTTGAACAAGAATGGAAAACTAAATTACAGATTTGGCCAACCAACCAAATGAGCTGCAAAAATCCCAGACAGCAATTAATAGTCTTTATTTTCACCACCAACAAATTATTAAGAAACAAGTAGAAAATACACAAATGGTGGATTTGGGGATCATAATGGATTCTCTACCTAACTCCAAGCTACTTGCCCTTGCCTCTAGAGCCAGCTACTGGCTCCTTTGGAGAGAATTAGTCTTCTGCCCTTGGGGGTGGAGGAATCAAATGTGAAGCAGCATCAGAGCTCAGAAGCTCAGAGAATTCCTGAGAGAGCTTGGCATTTCAACATCCTGAGGAACTCATCCTGGTGTGAGGGACCTGGGGATGGGTTGAGTGCTCTATACAGTTAAGCTGGGGAGAAGGGCTTGAGCAGACAAAGATCAGAGAGGCTTCCCCCAGGGTGCCTCAGAAGGGATGTAACATCTCCTCTTTCTACCCCAACCTCAGGGCAAGAAACACCTTTTCCAGTCAGCACCTGTGGAATTTCCCTGTTTATCTGAGAGAGAGGTAATTGCACAATCAAGGAGCTCTGGTCTTCAGAGAAAGAAGGATCAGGTTAAAATAGTAGGACTCCTGTTCCGCAGAGTAATTACTGGAGGAAACAGATGAGCACCTCAACAACAAAAAAGTACTTAAAGAGATCTGAATGTAATACACTCACATACACAACTCCAAAAACACGACTTTGTGACAAAATCATAAAGTAGGTCAATTATAGGAGAGGCTGCATTAGTGGCCCAGAAGATCAAATGCAAGAAATAGCTAAAAAAAAAAAAAAAAAAAAAAGTCCAGGAATCACTCTGGCAAATTGTATAATACCTTTATGGAAAAAGTATTAATGCTTATTGAAAGATCTACAAAAAGACCAAATAAATGGAGGTTCGTATTATGTCATGGTTGGGAACACTTTTAATCATAACTATTCTTAACCTCACCAATTAATTTGGAAAATCAGTACAACTTCGAATGAAGTTACAACATGATTTTTCCACACAGCTCCCTTCTCTTTCCCAGTAATACCCATTTATTTGTGCAATCTACGATGGAATACTAAATAAAAGATTTGGCTAAACTGCCATAAAACTTAAAAAAAAAAATCAATAGCTTCATTCACTACAAACAAATTTTTAAGAAACAGGTAAGAAAAAAACACCAATGGGAGATTTAGCTAATAATCCTAAAGCTTATATGCTGGAATAAAGAGCAAGAAGAACCAAAGCGATTCTGAAAAAATAATTAGAAAGGACTCACCTTACCAGATATCAAAACTTGTTACAAAGCTAGAGTAATTTAAGCTGTGTGATATCAACAGACAAAGATAGACAGACCGCCAGAGCCAAGATAGTGAGCCCAGAAACAGGCCCACTTGCATATGAAAACATGATATATGACAGAGGTAGCTTTAAAAGTCATTGGTGAAAGGATGGACTTTTTTTGTTTTTAATGGCTATCTCTTTGCAAAAACATAAAACGAGATCCCTTAACTCATTATACACAAAAAATACATTCTAGATGATTTGAAGATATAAACCTGAAGAAGAAATTTATAAATAATGTTTAGAAGAAAATAAAGAAGAAATATATCACAATGGGGTAGAGAACTTTTTAAGACACAAAACACAAAACTAGAAGGAAAATAAATGTTGCTAGAATTTTCCACATTATTGAGATATTTTTTATGATAGGACATTTAACAAAGTGAAATATCAAACCATAAATTGGAAGAACATATTTGCATTGAAATCCCAAAGGAATGCTTAGGAACCATTAAGAAAGAAAACACAGGAAAAAATAAGGGGGAGCAAAAGAACTGATACCTTTCTGATAGAGGTAGAAATTGACATAATCACTTTGGAAATAATTTTGGCAATGCCTAGTAAAGTTGGAGGGTGCATACCTTACGACTCAGAAAGTCCAAAGAGAGGACCTAGAGAAACTCGCACATGTACACCAGAAGATATGCACAAGATGGGGCCTTACTGCACTCTGAATGTTAAAAGAGTAGAAACAGCCTACCTGGAGTGGATCAACTGAGGCTTATTATAATGAAGGTAATGTAGAAGCTAATGGCAATCAACCAGATCCACATGTATCAACATAGGTAAATACCAAAATACTTGTTGGGTGGAAAGGCAAGTTGCATAAATACAGGTGTAAAAACAAAATACATGATTGGGGTGATACACAAATCAGTAAGTTCAGTGTGAGAAAAGGAAGGTGGGATGAGTAGTGGGCTTTGGCTGAATCTGCATTGTTTTGTTTAACAGGTGGGTTGTAAGCAAAAATGACAATGTTGACATCTTAAATTTCTGTAGTATGTACATTAACATATCTTTGGTATTCTATATTTTGATATATTTCATAATACAAGTTTTGATATGAAAAATGGAGCTTAGCAGAGCACCCCCATATAATGGCTACTCAAAAATCTGAACTGTTGCACTGAACCTGCCTTTCAGTTGCAGCATTCTTGTCGGTGACTCCTCCTCTTGACTTTGTTTATGGGTGATGCCTTATTCTATTTGACTAGGTTCATAGAGGCTCCTGTCCTAGACTGGGCTCATGGCTAGCTTACCAAAACCTCAGTGGTAGAATTTGCATATCTAAGAACCAAATCTCAGAGGAGAGTATAACATTCCCCCTTGACATTCTTTCTGAAGTACAATAATGATGAAAACCTTTTTCCAATTAACAAAATGCCAATTTCTGAAGACTAATCTCCTGAGTATTAAAACTATTAATAACTTTTAAAAAAGCACTGTGAACATTTGGAAATAAAGACTCCTGCAGAGCTTAAGTGAGTTCAAGACATCATAGCATACAGAGGCTATGGACTTCTCATGTACCTGTACAGTCAAGCAGCACCAATGTTTCTTTACTATAAAGCCATTTTTAGGGAAGTATGTAAGAGATCTAGCCATTGAAAACTGTTGCTTGTAATTTCTTTCATGATGATGAGGGAGGGAGAGCGTATCAGGTATTTCACAGGACTTACCCACTGGGTGTAATTTAAAGAATGTGCATCTCCTAGACAAAACCTTTGTGTTCTCTGTCTTGCACTTGGCTCAACCTACTCCTGAGACCCTATCTCCACATTCCTTCTGTCCAAAACAGGGTTCCAGGAGCATTGAAAGTGTCCATGTGGCAATCAACAGCATTACTGAGTATTTCCCCACCAGGTGAGGCGTGAACATTTTCCATCTCTGATTGCAGCCTGAATCCTGTTGTGGGTCCCAGGACTCTCCTAGAGTGCTGGAGAAGAACAGGGAAGAATTTTCTGCTTGTATTCCTTCTACTTGGGGCCTCTAATATGTCTCAACCTTCAGATTATGTGAGATTCACGCGGCTACCCTTTTAGCCTTTACCTTAAAAATGGTGATGTGATTTTCCTTCTCTTCTTGCACAGCAGTTTCCTTTTTGGAGACAGTTACTCTGTTGACTCTTTTGAGCATATTTAGGAAGTCACCAAGCAGTATCAGATTGTGTCATTTTTGCCGTGGAATACAGTGGTAATAGGAATTCGTTTCAGGATTCATATATTGTTTGTGGTGACGTTGTTTCTGAAGATAATTTCTCTCACAGTGTAGCACATCTAAGAACTCTTTAAAAATTATTCCAAGTATAAATATTTTGAGGGTTACATTTAATATGAGTATCAAATGCAAAAAATAAACTATAGCAGGTACAGACAATGATGGCTCTGTGGAATGCACTATTGATCAGATTTATTAAGGAGAATGAACAAATCTGAGGATGTATTATGAAATCTTAAGGGGGAGAGCATTAGGAAAACGTAGTGAAGATTCTCTGTAATGGTTGGAGGCTGCTTATTATAGTTGAAGGGTAATCTTTTGGTCAGATAAAAGAGTCCTCGTTCTGTTATTTATGTGGCTTGGGTAGTTTTCTTACAAGTTTTGACCTTCAGTTTTTTTCATGTGCAAATAGTGATGATTTCTTGTAACAATTGTGAAAGTTTAAAATAAGATAATGCATGTAAAGCCTGCAAAACAGTTTACTAGTAGTATCATGGCGCTGTGCACATAGCAGTAGCTCAGATTTTCCTTTGGGATTTATCCTTTCCACTGACCAGTAAAATTGCTTATGTATTAGAAGTCTCCAGAAAGTTCAACTTGAGAGTTTTATTGTATTTATACTCAAGGTGTTCTCACCCAGCTTGAAATCTTGGAGACATATGTGACTCTTCACAGCCCCCACTCTACCTCTGCCTTCTCCATTTCTTGACAGCTTGGATGACCCAAAACATCTACCAGCAGACTCCATCCCCCTTTCCTAACCAGCCAGAAGTGAGGCAGATAGATGTTATCAAGGTCTTTTTTTCCTTCAAATCTAGGAGGGTTTAGAATTCTTATTCTCTGGCGTAATTGGCTTAGACTTCATTACCTTATAAGTAAAATACCTCATAACTACTTTCTAAGTAAAATAACTAGTACAGTGCCAGGATTTTAAAAGGTTTGGCTATTGTTATTTACAATTGACCCAGGGCCCAGTGCACCTTAGGAAATCTCTGAGTTGTAGTAGAGTGTAG